TATATATATATATATATATATATATATAGTATAGTGTGTGTGTGTGTGTGTGTGTGTGTGTGTGTGTGTGTGTGTGTGTGTGTGTGTGTGTGTGTGTGTGTGTGTGTGTGTGTGTGTGTGGTGTGCAGTAGAAGATATGCAATGTTATCGCAAAATCTAATAAAATTATATACATGTTTTTACTATCGTAGACAATTAGTCAATAGCAATAGTACAAATAGTTCCATGTCTTTCTATAGCAAAGAGTTGCTTCACTACGTAATGTACAATATATACATGTTCTCTTTGAGAAAAATACATGTAGTGTCCTTCGTATCCTGGCTTATAAGGATATTGGACATAGCGAACGTGAAGAATGACTACTGCACTGTTGACAATACATGTATACAATATATAAATGTGTTTTCATTTATTTAGTAAAATGATAAGGTAAAAATTAATATGAGTAAACGGAATTAGTCATGTCGATAATATAGACTTTTTAAATTGTCGATAATATCGACTTTTTAAATTATGGATCGTTACCGACATTTTTTTAATTCCGTTTAGATGGCATTAACGGACGACCATCGGAAGTCGTCCTTCGCTTTAGGATCCCCTTAATGCGACTTCAATTGGTCGAATTTTACTTATATGACGGACGCTACTTGCGAACAGAATTATTAGAATTATTTAAGTGAGCCGATTGAGCTAATTGATCTAACAAGAGATCTCTTACAACTATCCGGAACGGATTTGATTCTTTTTGAAGTATGTTATTAAATACAAAAATCTAAGAGACATAAATTTTTTTATATCTGTCCAATCTGAATTTTAAGGGGTGAAACAATTCAAAGGTTAACATATATATTTGATTCTCATCAATTATCAACAAAACGGTGAGATATATAAAAAAATGTTTTAGAAATGTTTAGAAAATTTTTATAATTTTGATAAATCTTAACAAAAACTTACACAGCTCGGATGATTTTGACCTTGACATATATTATACAGGTGAGGTTGTATTGATCAACTTTTCTTTATTACTTAATAGGCGATCTTGTCTAGTTTTTGAAATATATTTATATAAATGCTAATAAATTTGGTAAATATCTAGAAAAACGGAACCTCCTCCAATGACTTTGACCTTGACATATGTTGTCAGGTCACTACCCAGATTGAGATCTTGAGAAAATTTTAAATGGCGGTTATTGTTCGTTAAAAAGTTATTAATAAAAAAGTAAATTCGTGAAGTAACATGGTAACAGTATAAAGTTGAAATGAGTACTGACTATGAGAATGCCATCGATCGAATGTAATCAAAACAAAGCGAGAAATTTACGTTGCGTGTGTACGTACTTTGGACAAAAACACAAATTCTTTACTTTAAAAACAAAAATTTTTTTCTTATATAAAATAGGAGATTTGTATTCTAAAGTAGAAAATTTGTGTTTTAACGCAGAGACTTTATATTTTAAAACAGGAATACCAGGTATCCTCATAGAGAGGGAGGGCGGAACATACTGTCCCCACGCATACACTTTTTAACACGAAGTGTCGCGAGATTCCACATGGGTTACAATTTGTTACAATGATTTTTAATCATTATAATATGGATTGGATTAGGTTAGATCTTTTAATGGGAACCCCCGTAGAGGGGAGACGGAACATACTGTTTCCATGCATACACTTTTTAGCACGAAGCGAAGTACCACATGGATCTATCTAATAAAGAAATCAACATTCAAAAACATTCTATAGTTCTTAACTTTATAATTCTAGTTATACATTTTTAACTTTAAATATCTCAGAAACTATGAAAGACCGCCACCTAATTGTTAATGCAAAGTTACTCAGGATCATAACCTTGACAATATATGTCAAGATCAAAGTCATCCAAGCTGTATAAGTTTTTGTAAAGATTGACCATAATTTCTTATGTAATTTATAACTGTGTATTTAAATAGAGTGTATAGGCCGATTTTAATTCAGGAGGTTCGGGAGGTTCGAGAGGAGTGCGGGGGAACGATGAGCGCGGGGAAGAGGGAAGAAAGAACGCAGAGACGGTGATCCTTTGAAATGAGACGCCGGGAGGGAAGAGGGTAGATAAGATAGTAAACTCCGGTAACTATAAACAGATTATATAAACAAATAAATAAACAAATACTGGGAGGACTCGGAGGACGCGTGGACATAAGATCACAGGATCTGGTTTCGCCGTCGCTACCGCCGCGTCCGCCCGCCGCTATATATGTTCTCGTACATTTATCATCCTTTCTTTTCCTTTACTACTATCTTCTATCTCTCTCTCTCCCGTTGCGGCTCTCTCTTATTACGAATCTTAATAACTATTTTTCGAATAATTATTTTTATGGCAGAAAAGAGGAATAAAAAAGACACATTTTGTATATTATATATATGTTTATTTTTAAACAATTTGAATATATTCGCCGCTACCATCGCCGCCGCTGCCGCTGCCACCTTTTTTTTCTAGGAAAAGCCGCGAAAAGATTGCTCTTCGTATAATCCGGCTGCTATAAACAAATAGATAAACAAATTGCGATTCAATTGCAAACGTATAACGATGTTCTGGTTTAGACAAAGGGACAAAGAAATTACCGATGATATATAATAGATCATTGGCTGCGCGGGATCACAGTAGAAAGTCTAATGAATCGAATGTGAGAGAAAGCCGGCGCGATTGCATACAAAAAAGAACGTGAAGTGTTGCATGTGCCGATATTGACAGGTGTCATTTATAACGGTGCTCCACCCCTGTTCCTATTGATAATACAAGGTCAGTTGTGAGTATATAAAAATAATCAGGTATATATACATGATGATTCATAGTTTGAATATTTTTATACAGGAATACGTGTAGTACACTGCTAAAAAGGAAAAAAACTTTGTGGCGTTACAATGAGAGATACCAAGATACCGAGTCATTGTAAATAATGTGGCGCTAGATTAATAGATAATAAGATATGCAGTTGTCAACCACTCGAAATGTTAATAAGTTCTCCGTTACGGAACGTGACGAATTATCCACCGGTGAACGTGGCAAATTATTTTTTGAAGAGATATTACATCCCGATTGCTCACAATTTTGTGAAGAGACGCAAACCCCGACTAAAATAATTCCGGAGGCATCCCGCTTCTCGATTTCTATCAAAATATTTCTGGAGACATGTGTATATCACTATTACCGAAGAATTGCGTATAATTTATCGTCAGATGTCCTTTATGGAAAGGGCAAATAATTCGTTCTCGCTAAACGACAGTAGTCTATGGTAAAATTTCGTGAACACGAATGTTATAATGACATAGAATTGTTCATTTACAATTACGTACAATATAATTTCTTACAGGGAATTTTCTACTGTTCATTAGCCATGTGCAAAAAGAAAGCAAAGGATCGCGCCATTATCAATTACTTATCAAATAAGCAATTGTATCAAAGATATGTAAAGTGTCGTGTAAAAACGAATATGAATAAAAAAGGTTCACGTTTAAATCATGATGCAATTTATTTGTCATCTGCACGACTGACACACTAATCTACCTTTTTGACATCTTATAATGCCCGACGCACGATGAGTCACCCGGGCAAAATAAACTTCTTGCGGCGCTTAGAAGCGGTCAATCGTTAGAATATTAAATAATCGTCGACGTAATAGAAAGGAATAAAAAACATATTTCGTATATTATATATGTTTATTCATAGTTATCTGGCCACCAATTATACAATTTGAATACATTTTGTAATGCGCAATTAATATAGTGATATCCACATCGGATAGTATTATCAGTGTCTAGATTGTTCAGAGAATCTATGTCTTTGTAATCTGCATCCAGGGTTTCGATACACGCGCTCTCGCTCATCGTCCAGAAGCAAGTTCCACAGCTATTATCGTTTTTTATGTCCCTTGATGTATACAACAGCATTGTCGTCGTCGTTGTCATCGCGGTCTTCTTTCATATCGCGCACTTTCATACCTTCGTAATCAAACTCTTAACTTTGCTGTATGGAACTGTTCCATCATCTCATTGCAGTCTATGGTGATAACGTATCACCTAGTGTGTGCGAGACCTGTCGGCACTTGCCAGAAAATGCCATGGTATAAGGCTTGCGAAATGTAGTGAGAGAAAACAATCCGTTCTCTGAGAGCAGCAAACTCCTTTACGACAAACTGTCCTGCAACGAGGAAACCTTGCAGAGACCTTCCACGAACGTTGCACAGACATGAGTGTTGTTGAGAAGAAAACCGCGATCGATTTCGATGTATCGTAGATTTTATTTCGTAGATTTTATCTCACATTATATTGGAGAGAGGCGATACTCTTAGGTGATCTTGCGTACAACATTGATCAACAGGTTCTATTAAATCATGCGATTGTGTATGATGAGACAGTACGCAGTGGTATTCATTGGTACGTTCTCTTTAGTCTTAAATTCCAATCTCACGTCCACAGTTGCGCTTTTGACCGATTCGTTTTATCGAGAGCAATCGATAATTACGAATGGGTCGTTATATAAAAAAAATGTGACGATGAGACTCGGCTCGAGATACTTGTATCCGTAATCTTTGCAGAAACGCGCGTACGTATCGTACAATACAGATTGCTTTTGTCAAAGTCCAGATTCATATCGTCGTAGGAATAACATTCTAAGTTTAGATAGAGTTTGGTCAAGTTGCAGTCGAATTGGCTCGTGTCCTTGGCGATGACGTTCTTTTGACCTGTTTGCAAAGCGAAGATGACATATCACGGCTTCTCGAGCTGAGTAGAGTGTCTTAAATGAATATTTGATTGTATGCTATAACAGTAGAAACTCGTACAGATCCTACGAGCGAAAAGCCAGCTTAGGTATCGTCCGCTCTCTAAAGCGCACAGCATAGTTTTTTTTCGTCGATAGTTTTTTTTATCTCGCTCAATAACATGTGCGACATTGTATCTTGAATAGGTCAATCACAGAATCCAACGCTGAGTTTCCCATCAAGCAATTGTTGTCGTTACGTAATCGTATCAAGAGGATATTTAATTATTACTGTGATATGGGTTGGGATAATACTCTACCGGAGGTAGACGGGACATCACACTGTCTCTATGTATACACTCATCAACGCGAAACGAAGTTTCACATGGACTTCTAACTTTCTACATGAAACGAGTTTTCGCATAAATTTAGCGAAATTTATTCCACTTCTTCCGTGCTTACAGAAAAAGCTGACATCTATTGTTCTACTTTACTGTTTTTGACTTCCACGCGAAACGAGATCTATCTCATACCATCACCTGCATATAGAGTGAAACAAGGTCTATAATTATACTGTATATAAGTTTCAATTTCCACGATAAGCAAAGTTCATTCTCATACCATTACATATAAGTTCACATTTATTAATAAAAAGGTCGCATAAATTTTAACTTGTATTTACATTTGAATAGTTTTTTGAATGTTTACACTATTTATTTTTTTCACTGTTTATCTTCTATAGTTATGAATTCCTTCCTATTCGATGCGTGCTAATATTTCATTCTCAAACATCCAATATAAAAACTTGGATATTTATTTACGTGTATGTGTTACGTCCAACTCGGATAATTCCTCACGAATCGTTGGGCATGGAAGGGCGTATCAGAGGTTTCTATTTTTTTACTCGCGAGGACAAGCTCACAAGCCAAGCATACGTCTCGGAGTACAGGTCAACGTTCTGACAACGCTGTGATTCTGACTCAGAGACGTGCGCCCATCGGTCCGTTTTCGGATCAGAAAATTTAATCTCTTTAACTTAGAATAGGATCCAGTGCGACTCTTAAAGGTAGAGGGAACGAGGGAGAAAATTTTAAATAAAAAGAAACATTTAAATTAAATTGCGTCTACATTTAATTGTCAAAATATTACAAGTGATTTATAATACATTTATGAATCTTACATTTGAATTTCTATATATATATATATATATATATATATATATATATATATATATATATATAAAGTGCCCTGTAAGAGCAACTCGATCTTGTTTATTTCATTATTGTTATTTGCGTAACCAGAGGTCCACGTGTCACTTTTCGGCATCCTATTTTCCGAGAACAAAAATAATATGAAAATGATTCTAATAATCCGCGTAATCGACAGCCCGCGTGTTTCATTCATTTCCTGTTTTGCCTTGTTTTTTTGAAATTGAACTAGTGGTGTGAAGATTCCACTGATCGTGACCAGTGGCCCGCATGCTTATCATTCTTTCTGTTTCGGTATCTTGTTTTTCTCAACAGAAAAATATAAAAGTCTGACATCTGTTTATTTGTATAACTAAATAATAAGAACTGATTCTCAGAAGAAAAGAATCGTGCAGTCGAACATAACAGTAGTATACGTAGGAATATCCATATGTAAACTTCGTTTAATATTAAATTTTTCATTGTCAATTGTCATTTACGTACAAATCTTGATATTCATAAATCTTCTCTTTGTTATAATAATTTTCTAGTAAACAACGACTAAAATCTTTTAGTTGTTACTTAAGGTGATGATCTTAACGATATATATCAAAGTCAAGCAGACCAGAACTGGTTCCATTGTTGTCAATATTGTAAGAATTAGACGACCGTAAGCGGTCATGAAAGAGATTCGGAATATAAACAGCTAACAGAGAGGAGCCGTCGTGGTCGTGCAGACTAAGTGTCGGATTGGTAGAGGGATCCCGAGTTCAAATCCAGTCGGTCTCCATTAATTTTTTCCGAATCTAATAGATATCTTTCAATCTTTATCCTGAAATGGATAATATATTTCATTCTGATTCTTACAATGACAACTTACTACACACTTAAAATAACAGAAATAACAGATATAGCAGATTCATTTTAAGTAAATATTATCAAAATTTTAGAGTTGCTGAGCGCTCATTTCGCGACCGATATTCTAATAGGTGCCATCCAAATGACATAGTAATTTAGAATTGCATATTAAGACTTCGACAAGATCGAATTCATCAGACCCGTAGATGACGAAGATTGTATGAACTCATAGTTTTAGGCGTTATTGCTATAAAGCCCAAAATAAGTGTCCGCACAATAAGTATTATCTATGTACAGAACCTCTAGTAGAGAGAAGCAAGAACTAGGTCCAGTTACTCCGCGATTGGCTGGCATCAATATGAGCAGATTTGGACATTGCGACGCAATGCAATGATATTTATACAGATGTTGGTGACACATATGAGGTTGGTGATAATTGATTATATTAATAATTGTGCTTGAAATTAATATATACTAAAATTTATAAATTTAAGGAAAAATTAAATTAAATTAAAATTAAAAATATACATCCGCATGCAACCGTACTTCGTAATTATAACTCTATTTTTACAATTTGATTGAACCTTTTTTACAATTTAACCAAATTTAATTTATATTAATTTACCGAATGTATTATATCTGCGTTGCGAAATATTTGCATAGTTTTCTTTATGTTTCAACAATTTATTGAACTTTATTTATATAATTCAACCGAATTTTATACATTTTTACCGAACTGATTATATCTTTCTTGAGCGTTTTCGTTAAGATCATCGTTATATAATTTAAGTTTTGTTTTTATTAATTTTTAATTTTCACACTGAAGATGACCTAATATAAGATCGAAATGACGTATGTTTTTCTGTTTATCAATTATTTATGTATTGTTTATTAATTATTTATATATCGACTTTTCTCTATTAATGATAAACATTATTCGCATGAACATACTATTTTCGCTTTTATGCTCCTTATTATTTAATTTTTGAAGTTAATAAGCGCCTTTTAAGTACAAAATTTAAAATTAAAAAATTAAAATATTTAACAAAAATATTTAACAAAATTTATAATTTAACAAAAATTATAAATAAACTTTATTAGAAGAAATATGCATTTAGTCATTAAGTTATTTATGTTTATTTAGAGTTTGTGAATGATTATTTGACATACAAAATTCTTAAATAAATTATTGTGCTTACATTACAGGTAATGTGCTATTGCATATATTACAAGCATCGTTCACTATCATCGAGTTGTATCACACACAAATGTTCTAATAGAAGCGATCAAGGCTATACATTAGTCAGATATTCGCAAGATGAGATCTTAAAAAGAAATGAATTACTGCGGTTAGAGGCAAGAACTCATCTCCTAGCAGTTCTTAAAAACTTTGCGTAGTTAGTAACAATGTGCGATATGCTCTGATTTTATATTTCAGAAGATAAACATGTAATAATGTGTTATTAAATTCACAACATGTTTATTATTTTTCTATAGGTACATTTTCAATCATCGAAAATCGAATTTTTTGCTGGACGCAAATGGGTAAAGTCTGGTTCAGTTCCATCCCATTTTTTTTCCATCATGTTTATCTTTTGAAATGCAAAATCAGAGCATATTGTACATTACTACTAACTTCGCAAAGTTTTTGAAAACTGCTAAGTGACCAGTTCTTGTCACTTCCAACCATAGCAATCCATTCTCCTTTTAAGGTCTCATTTTGCGGATATCTAACTAATCTATAGCTTTGGTCACTTCTATTTATATACAATGCAACTTAATGACATAATGAACGTGCTTGTAATATACGTAATATGCCTGTTATATAAGTACAATAAATTATTTAAGACTTTTGTAGGTCATTAAATAATAATTCACAAACTCTAAATAAACATAAATAATTCAATGACTAAATGCACATCTCTTCTAATCAAAATTTATTTATAATTTTTGTTAAACATTTTAATTTTTTAATTTTAATTTAATTTTTCCTCAAATTTATAAATTATTATATAATAATTATATATAAATTATTATATATAATTTCTAGTATATAATATTAATTTCAAGCACAATTATTAATACGATCAACCTCAAATGTTTCACCAACATCTGTTCAAATGATAACACACATTGGCGTCGTAATGGCCAATTCTGCTCACATGGATGCCAGCCAATCGTGGAGTAGCTGATCATATGACTCAGTTGTCGCTTCTCTCTACTAGAGGTTCTCTAGTTCGACTAAGTGTCAATCCACAATAGGTGATTTAAGCTTTAAGAAGTAAGAAATTGACCAATTATAATCGAATATGAAAAGAATAATCGACTATGATTGGTCAATTTCTTACGGCTTAAAGATTAAATACTTATTGTGGACCGACACTAAGAAAGGTATTACAAAATTTCTTAAGGTTTTAAAATTACGTAATTTCTTCGCTCGCCAAGAGATTGCGCGCATAGTCACTTTGACGAGATAACTATGGCAGTAATAGTAACAGTTTTTATTGAACATCCCTCGTATATACATACATGTTTTGACATTGCCAGTACGATGCATATCTATCACGCTTTCTCACCTCTGAATAAAGGTCAGTTGATAAGGAAAATCATCATTAAATTGCAATAGATTTATATGTAAAGCATTGTAATTTGAACAGCGCAGAATTTGTAATAAGATTCAGTTCTTTACGTTCTAACTGACAAGGGAAATCAGTTGACGGATCGGGAAATTTTGAAGCGCTTTATACAGGTTGTTCTTGGGCGAAAAAGAACGATACGTGTCCGACTGTTTCAGCAAATGGTCTGTAATTCGAAAAAATCGATTTTTAAAAAAATGAGTCTAGTCGATCGATATACGAACGGGACACTTTATATATTTGATTGCTATTACTAAGCAATAACAGCGATAGTACAGTTAATAAGATGTTGATCTTGTACGAAGTAGAGCGTGTGTTCGAATTTCATCGCGTATACCTTTTTTTATTAAAAATTTGTTTTTATCTGTAATTATGCTGTAGATGTACACTTAAAAGATTATTTATTTAATTATATCAGTATATAAAAATATATATAAAATTAATATTTAATATTTAATATTTAATAATAATAATAAATATATATATTAATACTTAATATTTAATAACAAGGAAAATAAATTGAAGAAATTACAATGCCTGATCAATATATAAATTCAAGAAATTTCTAGACTTTTGTTACTAATTGTTACAAATGCTTTTGTTAAAGTTAGTTATTTACAGTCTTTGAAAACATAACAGTCAAAAACTGTGTTTTACCTTACTAGTAACAAATCTCCATAAAAGAAGTACTTTACTTAACGTTCCAAATGTTTTAATTTCCAATATGTTTTACATCATGTTTCAGGAGTCGATATCGAGCTGGACCGACGCGAAAATTTCGTCGACGAGCCGTCTTGAAAAATGGTGATTGCAACGTGCTGCAATCGCGTATCTCTCGAAGATCCTTACGTTTTCTGCAAGACATTTTTACAACTTTAGTGGATACACAATGGCGGTGGACGTTACTGTGCTTCATTTTAAGTTTTCTTCTATCTTGGCTGGGTTTTGCAATGATTTGGTGGCTGATTGCCTTCACTCATGGTGATTTCGAGGAACATCATTTACCACCCTTTCAAATAGAAAACAACTGGACACCGTGTGTTTACAATATTTTCAGCTTTACTAGCTGTTTCCTTTTTAGTATCGAAACTCAGCACACTATCGGATATGGTAGTCGCTCCACAACTGAAGAATGCCCGGAAGCTATATTTATTATGTGTATTCAAAGTATCGCTGGCGTTATGATCCAAGCTTTTATGGTAAGCATTTTTTAAAAATGTTGAATCTTTTGATGTCTGATATATAATTAAGTTTAATAAATAAAGATTAATCATAGGTGGGTATTGTATTCGCTAAAATGACTAGACCGAAACAACGTACTCAAACTCTATTATTTTCGCGAAATGCCGTGATTTATCAACGAGATGGTGAGCTTTGTCTCATGTTTCGAGTGGGTGATATGAGGAAGAGTCATATAATTGGTGCAAGCGTTCGCGCCCAAATAATTCGTAGTAGAACAACCAAAGAAGGTGAAATTCTATCTCAACACCAGCAGGAACTAGTGGTAGGTACCGATGGTGAAAATGGAGATTTATTTTTCATTTGGCCAACCACTATAATCCATCGGATCAATGAATCTTCGCCCTTCTTTGATATGTCTGCTGAGGATATGTTAACTGAACGTTTCGAAGTTGTTTTGATCTTAGAAGGTACTATTGAATCTACTGGACAAACTACTCAAGCTAGATCAAGTTATCTACCGCAAGAGATTTTATGGGGTCATCGTTTCGACCCCATGGTAAGCTATTCAAAGGAGCGACAAGGTTATGAAGTAGACTATTCTCTGTTTAATAGTACTACTCAGGTTGATACCCCACTATGTTCTGGCAAGGATCTTGCAGAATTTTATAAGGCACAGGATGATCTTCGTCACGGAACTGGTAAGTAATTACATAATTTACCTCTCACATAAATCTTCAAATGATTTTTTTAACGTTTGGTTTACGAAGTATAAAAAACATTACCAATAAATAACACCAACAATAAATTAATTTCTTCGGATGCATTTATTTATAATTTTCACTATTGTAATTATTCAATCATTGCATTTCAAATGTAATAAAAATTTAATTTATAAAAAGTTTTATAAAATTATAACACTCTTATTACAAACTCAAAGTTAAAAGAATAACATAGAAAGAATTACAAATATTTTATTTAATAAAATTTAGATTTCTGATTTTTTGTGAAATTGTATACCAATATAGATTTATGATTATCAAGATATGAAATGTTAATAAAAAGAAAATTACCTGTGTTATCTATTTATACTGCACTTAACAATTATATTGCAATCAATTGAACATGCTTAACAATTAATATTGTCGTGATCGCAGCGGACACACACATGATTCACTCGCGCTCATACTCACTCGCGTAAATAACGAGATTGTTATTTAAGAGAAACAAACTTCATTATTATGAAATAATAGCACAAAGGAAAGCGTAATCAAAGCAGTTACTCCGCAGCTGCAATCACAATCCGCCAAACAACAACCGTCGCTATATCGGTTTTCTTCTTCGAGGGAATTTCTTCTTCTCAATCAATATTCGGGGGGCAACGACGAACGGATCACCACTCGTAACAATTTTATGTTGGTTTAATATATGATAATTTTTAATACATATTTGATATTACTTTTCAACAAAATCTCTTCAAAAAAATAAACAAAAAGTAATTGTTTCTCATAATCTTTGGATACAATTTTGCATGTGAAATTACTCTATCAACATTTATAGACATCAATGTTTTAACACTCGGAACATTTAAGAAAAACATTTACGATCACGGTCAAATCTTGATGCATAATAGTATAAATTCAATAGAATATTCAATAGATATTTTACTGTCAAACTTGTATCACAATGATTAATACAATTAAGCTAATATCGCAATACGTTAAGATATAGTTTTAAATTATCTTAATTTAGATTCATAGTTGTATTCAAAGAAATAAAATAACACTTAGAAAAATAACTTTCTAAATATTTAATTTTAAGTTGTATAAGTGATTCAAAAACATTTACAGTTTATATAACAGTCTATGTTTTATTTCATCTGAGATTTGCATTTAGTAATATTCGTAGAAGTGATCAGTATCACTTTATGAAAGGAACTTGTTTAATTAAAAATACTGTTTGATAATAAGAAAATAGATTAAATGTTGGGCCGGCAATTTAATCTGTTAATCTAATTCATTATCCCAATATCGTTGATAAAATAGCCTGAGTGACACATTACGTGAAAATAGTTTTTTGATCTTTAGAACGATTGCCCTATGTAACCTTTGTATAACCTTTTCACTTGATTAGTAGAATGAAGAGTAAGATAAATAATTGTTAAAATAGTAAATATTTGTTACTATTTTCATTATAAACCTGATTTCTGCACTTTAAATAATCTTAATGTACTCTGGCTTCAAAATATTACACAGCAGAATAATTCGGATATCACCTATTCGAAGTTTAATTTGATTAATATTTGATGATAATTTCTGTAATATTCGTTTAAAACAATATAATATCAATTTCTAATGAAGAGTAACTTGTCATAATTATTGCACGTACGAGATGTGTTTGAAAAGTAATGGACATGGCATTAGAGATCTGACAATATTGTATTTATGCCATTAAAACTAGTTGAACAATACATTTTTATTAATACTTTTATAATACAAGTTTCTAGCCGACAATATGTCTGATTTAATAATAAGTTTTGTAAGTGTGTTGTAGCGTTACAAAAATGGAAAAATATAATTTTGAACAGCGCTGTGTAATAAACTTCTGCGTCAAACTAAAACGCAAAAAGAACGATTCAGAAGAAAGAGTAATCATATTCGGCCGGAGTTAGCGCACTCTTGGATGCTCCATCACGACAACGCGGTACCTGATATCACACGATCTCTGTGATCGAGTTTCTAATCAAAAAGAATATTTTATTAATTTCCTTCATACACGCCTGATCTGACAAGAGAAGCTTCCGATTTCGGATCATTGATTTTTTTAAACTTTTGATGAATTGGTATAGAAGTAACAAATATTATTCGAAGACGATG